TATGCAGGTATGTTCTGGACTAAAACAAAACGAACAGCATCTGAGAAACACAGGAACTACTTTAACTGTCTGAGATACACTGGCACCAGAGGTCAAACCTTCCCAAACCCACTGGAAGGTGCACATACAAATAGGTAAGAAACGGCAATACGGGTGAATTGTAAGCATAGCACCAAGTGGAAATATACATTGCTTCCAAGCAAAAACGAAGAGGAGGAAGTGTAGCGAGAAATGGGCATTGAATTCAGTACAAGTTACTTTACGTAATGAAAATGTAAGCCTTCCCTAGTCAATAATTAAAAAGTAATTCTAGTGGCCAGAATTGTTTTTTTATCTTGCACATATAATGTCTTAGCTCATTGGAATCAGCTCCAAACCACAGAAGACTAGCCCAACTCTGCATATTAAACAAGCAGACATGAATTAACCTCCTAAAGACCAAAATTTTATTTTTCATATCCATCATAAAGATCTATTCCAAAGCAAAGCTACCAAACAGATTAAAACTGAACCTTATTTTAACGTGGCTCAACTGAAGAAATTACTCTCTTTAAGGATATTAAGGTGAAATGCAGTAACTCTCTTCCAATTCACTACTCCAATGAAGCCACGTTTAGACAGAAGCCCTACTCTATAAAGATAAAACAATGGAGTGGAAAGACGGCAGAGGATGACACATGCATATCTATGTACCAAAATACAGCCTGAAAGTCTGATCTCTTCCCTTCATTTCACAATCCTGGCAAAGGTCCTTGAAAATAACTTGTACCAGTCTGCACTCTGACAATATGCCTGCAGCTCAGCAAGATCTACCCAAGCAAGTCTTTCTTGTAGAACTGCATGTGATGTTGTGACTGGAAAAATATTAGCAGAAGAAATATACTGAAAAATGGTAACTGAAGGGTTTGTCTGCTTCCTACAGTGAGAGGCAGAAAATGAAATGAGGATTGCAGAATGCTGGGAGTAGAAAACAAACATGCTGATACACATACCTCCCTCCACACTTCCGTGGTTCTGTGTGGGCTGCTTTCATGATGCTGGATCCAAGAGCTCTCCCCTTCTGTTTTACAGATTACGTCTCAAATCTACACATTTTGTCTATTATTCCACTAAAAACCACCTCTTTCCTTCATCAGTCAATGGTGTTCAAAAGAATATTCCATCACCTTTAAGTAATGATTTTGAAGCTTATTTACCCTTTACAGTGCTGAAGGTTTTTGGGGAGGAAGGGCAAGGAAGTGGGGTATTTGCACGGCTACCTTTGTTAAGGAGGGAACATGCTAATTGCTAATTCTATAACTGGAGATACTGTGATAGCACACGATAAATAGCAACAAACAGGAATAAGGAAGATGACAGATCCAGATTTTTAAATATTAATCAGAATTCTGAATGAGGAACCTGAATCCCGTGAGAAAGGCTTGGTTTTGGAAACTGATGATCATTGATGAAACGATCACTGATGAAACAAAAATCAGGCCCTTTTCACAGTCTTCAAGTCAAGCACCCAAGAATTACCAGTTATGCTTGGAAATTACCCCTGACTTTCATATACCCTCATGTGTAGACGCAAGTCATTTTGAAAGCCAAGACTGTCATAAAGGAATTCTGAATTACACTGATTGCTGAGTATCTCCTATCCTTTCCTTATGCCTTATCTTAAAGTTCATAGACAGAGCTGCATGGAATCCAGAAGTTCTTGTAGAATGTACTTCGTGAACTGCACAAAACTATTGTTCAAGCTATCTTCAAGCTTGCTATTTTGCCCTAAAAACACTTGCTTGTTTGTCACCAGCAAGGGTGCCCATTCAGCACAGCTCGGCATCACTCTGCTGTTGCACCACTTCATTTAAGATCACTCTTTCTCTGTTATTTCTTGTTTTTCAAACACCTGAAAGTGGTTATAAAACTCAGTCTAATTAAATTCGTACATGAAAACAGGTAATGAAATTATCAGCAATAGCTGTCCATGCCTTCATGAATTCCTACAAAAGCAAAGAGCAGGATTCCTCCAAAAGGAAAGAAAAGCAGAACCACATGCAAGCAGAGTAACCCTCATGGAAATAATGAATAAGTGCAACCACAAGACGCTCTCCTTCCTTCCCTTGGAAGCAGACACAAACTCTCTTCTTGCTTAAAAGACAATCTTGCTATCATCTCTTTATATCTACAGTGTAATCAGAGCCTAAACATCTTTCATAATTGACTCAATTTCCTGTCTTGAGTAGACAGGTGCTGAGAGCCTGTCTAAAATAAGCTAAGAAGACATAAAAGGCTGCGTGAGAAGCCTGTTACTGGAAATATGAAAGGAGCAGAATTTCAATGATCCGCAAAGCATTTGGTAGACTATATTTACCATCCACAAGATGACGGGCAAAAACAACTACACGCTCAGCACAGAACTATTTTTAAAGGATGTTACTTGCCAGGAGACAAGCAGGCTTCTGCGTCCCAAATTCTTGGGCTTTTTCTTTACAAAAAATTATGGACATAATGAGTCCTCTCATCCAAGATATCTAACCTAGAAGTAACTTTCTTAACACGTATTTACAAATCTTCCTCTTAGAACAAAGATTTTCACTAGCGCGTACATGTTTGATTATATAGCTTACTGTATTCTACAACATTCTTAATAGTTTGCAGAGATGACCATCCTTGTTAGGAAATGAAATCTGTCTGGTAGTATCCATCCAACTGTCTGGGACATGTCTCTTCACGGCATTTGAAACTCCACCACAAACTCTCAAAACGTAAGCGATATGTGCGATATGTTGAAGTAAAGGAGACATGACACTGAACAGACTATGGATTAATTAATTCCCAGCTGAGGAAACAAACAGACTGAGCGTGTATTTGCAAAGAGATGCCACGTGCAACCATACAATAAACAAGGCTATTTCCAGTACAATAGCAGTAAAACATCTGTGTCAGTCTCAACTTCCTTGGAGCCTCTAAGCTTTAAGCACATCTTGCATTTATACAATACCTTTTAGCCAGAAAAATACCAAAACCAGAAGATACTTTTCAGACTTAAGCTAGTAGACACACTGAGATCATTCCACCCACCGCAAACACAGCCATCTGGTTTAATAGCATTCTTTACTGCAAAATAGATGGAAAAGAGAAGAAGGAAATTATATACCTATTCTAAAGTTAAAATAGTTATTAGATAAATTAAGTTGCTCATAAAGATAATGCAACTCACCAAACAGAAGGAATAAAAGTCAAAGGGACATTGCCAGGTGAATTATTTTAAATGTTTCCTTTTCATCTAAGACCAGCTGAAATAGCTAGAATCTGGTTAACACCTGATGAGTTAACCAACATGACCTCCGTTGCCTTTTCATTTTCACTCCATTTCAGCCACAAAAAGACCTATTTTCACTTTTTGACTGTGATTTAAAAAGCACAATAGGGAGTGTTGGTGTCACAAGCTGTACAGGAAGATTCCTAATGACACAGCAATACCTACTTTTCATTGCTCATTGCAAAAAGTAAGTACCTAGTTTTATAATATTACAAATAATTTTGTAATACTGAAATGAGATCTATAAATCTACGGCGACAAGAGCACTGGTATTTTTACTGGAAGTAAAATGGTCTGTATAGAAGGTGTTTCTTTCAAAATCGAAATTACCTAATTTTTATGCCAAAGCCTTTCCTGGGACCACGCATGCATATATTTATTAAGCACTAACTCAGCTGAGAAGGAAACACGCCAGCTGCCATGTCACAATTACCACTTTACACAATACCTGCTGCAAAATGCTCTCTAGAGCGCTTCTGAGTAAGTGACCTGGTGCAATCCTGCACAGCTTAGGAAGTATGACAGAGTACAGGAGGAACACATTTACTCTGAGTACAAAATTACCTCAATCAACCAAGGCAATCCGGGACAGCCTATTAGTTTCACAAGCCTCATGAGCAAGGCACTTTTGAGTGACAGCTAGGAAATTTCCGAATATGAATTACCAAATCATTACTGTAACTGGGTAAAAAATAATCCAGATCATTGTGTATCCTAAACAGTACCATTAGAAAAAAAAAAGGATATATTTTGCCTTTCATGAGGCTTAAAAACCTTAGATTTACTATCAGAAATATTGTAATACTAATACTTAAGAAGCACCACAGAATTTAATCCCCAGTTCTCCATAAGCAGTCAGAAGAGGATTGGTTCCACCTAGCGACTGAACATAGTTACATAAACTCAGAGAGCCCGTTCGGTTTCTTACCTGTTCCAGTTATTTGTTACCCAAACCCAAAGAACTGATACTAGCACCAAAGCCTGCACTTCATCTTATAACAATAATAAACTAATACAGACAGTGTGACAATACAGGGATGGCACAAAACTGTTCTGAACAAAAGTGAGTTCAAAAATGACGGATGACTTTTACACAGCATTTTGGGGCAATAAAAACATCTTGCAAATATTGAAACTGAAACTCCCTAGGGTGACATTTTTGCTGAAACACTTCTTACGTGTTGCACTTTGCCAATTACTGATGAAGGTACTGTCGGAGGTACTTGTAGAACTCTTTGTATGACAGATCCTCACAGATTTTGGTGATATCCGTTGTACTAAATACTCATAGGAAGTATGATTGCACTATGATCTCCACTTCACAGCGGAGAGAACTGATACTGAGAACTAAGTGACATAGTCTCCAGCAGAGGTGGGAATTGAACCCAACTCTCTTACAAACTAACCTTGTATCTCACTATCCTTTCCTATCCTTTCCTTGTTGTGCCAGAACCACACTTTGAAACACAATGAACCTATGGTACCCCTCACCCTTACTCTCCCCCTTCAAGAGCAGGATTGTCAACAGTATGAAATCTCTCAAAACAAACAATGAAAATAAAGAATTTTGAGCATGGAATGAGATTTTTGAAAGCGGACAGTGCAACACTGAGCTCAATAATACTGTTTCACCTGGGTCTCTCGCACCCAATGGGTCCTTTTGTAAATACATAAAATAAACAGCAGGACCTACCTGTAATTTGCGTTGTCATGGAAATCAGCAGTGAAAAATTCAAAGCTACCATGGAAATATTAACAGAGTAATTTGTGCCTGGGTGCAAATCAAAACAAACTTCTGGAGCCTGCTTATATGTGGTAAGGTTGAAGGTCATTTCATGAAAGAACTCCTTCTGATACCAACGCCGGCCTTGCACATGAAACTGTAACCAAAAAAAATCACAGCATGGAAACTGCAATGTTTTAATACATCACTTGCATTTATTTATGTCATGCTCTAAGTGAGAAGATTTAGCAGAAACATACATCATTACATGAAGAACATCAAAAGTGCTGACAACTATTCTAATTCAAATACTTCCAAAATTTGACATGAAGTGAAGTCTCTCTTGTTGATTAGCCCTGACACTGTCCTAACTCTTCATTTCTCCTCCTCCTAGCCTATCCTCTTTTCGGTTAGAAACGTAATTCCCAGAAGTCTTGCTTGCCTGCTAAAAAAACTTTCAGTGCAGTGCGTCCTCATTGTGCAAAGTACACAAAAGTGAACTCACATGCGCACATCTGTGGCTCGACTCTTGAGGATCAAGTCAAAATCAAGTCATTTTGAGCTATGACAACAGTGTTCTGAATGCCAGATATCTCCCAGGATCTGCCTACAGGTAGCTACGGTTCTAGGCAGAAATACAGACACGTATTTTTTTGTTTCGGTTGGATTCTATGTGCGATTATTTCATTCTTCAAGTCCTAAGTTGTCACGAAGTTATTTATTTAACATTCAGACCTCTCCTGATCATTTGTCTGTTAATAAAAACTAAAATGCTTGCTATATTTAAACACACCACAGGCTGTTATTCCTTTAAATGCATCTTATGTCTTTAGATAATCCCCGAGCACCTCTCAGCACAGGGAGATTAGAGACAACAGCAGGTGGTCAGAGCTCTGGCAGAGATAGCTCATGCACAAATGCTCTGCTGGGATGAGAGAAGACTGCAGCTATGTCACAAGGCAGAGCAGACTGACTTTGTGGAATTGTAACAGGTCTCTTTGGGACCTGGGAATGACAAAGTTAAAAGTACAGACAACAAAGGCAAAACAGAATTAGAGTAGAACGGGAAAAATAACCAAGAAACAGACTACAAAAAAGCATAGTGGTTTATTTCTTTTTCAAACATTGCTATGCAAGCTAATCTCTCTCATTAAAAAGGGAGTAATTAGCTTGAGGAACCCTGATGGCAAAACATGTCTGAAAAATTACAGGTTTGTTCACATACATGATTGGAACAGAGAGGTAAAAAAGTCAGAGATTCAAAATATGTATTATCACTTACTGAATATATGTCTTTCAGAGCACCTCCCCTGACCTTTCTCTGCCATTTCAAGCAGGTGTCATTAAAAATTAATACATTGTTGAAAGCTTCCTTTACTGCAGAGACAATAAAAAAGGGAAAAACTCATTACAAAAACATCACCTTTTTCAATATAATGGCGTGTGAGTATCTCAAAATAAAAATAAAGTTTTATTTTCATTCTCTTCTGAGCAGAAGGCAGAACTTCATTTCATTTTGAGTGCACAAACACAATAAATAAAGCATAAACAGCTTCCCCCCCAAAATGGCTTTTGGAAAAATCCAAGCACCCTATTTGGGGAATCAAGAAAGGATGTATTTGTCCCAGACCTAGGAAGGATGTATTGACAGGAAGATCTAAAAGTTTAGCCCTCCTGATGGAAATAGAGTTATTGCAGAACCATTTGTAATAACAAATGCATCTGAGGAAAAATACACTTGTGAAAAAATATTTCTTGGGATTCCAAAGGCAATTATTCCTCCAGGCCTGTCTCATTAGAATTAGTTTGTCAGAAGGCAAGCTTAAAGCTTCCACAACCAAAACGTTACAAAATCCTGCTCTTACAACATACCTTCTCTACAATTACTGAAAAGCTGCTAGAACATTGCTCATCGTTGCTAAACACAGGGACATCATCTACAATGCTCACATCACTTGAATCAGTGTCAAACAGCTCAGACACGGCTAACACTGCCATAGGCAGAGAATCAATTATCAAGGCAAGGCATGGAAACCAGTAAGCACTATGCCACAGACTGAAACTCCTGCATCTAACCCGGAACGTCACTGCACCAAGCCTGCCTTAGTCAAAAGACAACCCCTGAAAGAGCAGCTTGCCAAGTCCTTCTGAAGGGCAATTATCACCACAGCTCTAACTTTGCTCATAGATTTGTTGAATACATTGAGCAGGAAGAAAAACATCTTACTTACAGAAAAGAAGGAATGATGATGGCAGCTCCATTTGAGAAGTGAGCATAACAGGTGGGACAGTTTCAGAAACAGCTTGTTATCTCGTCTGCTAGACTCTAAACAACGAACTTTGCGCCAGAGTAACTTGTTTTACAAGTCACAGACAATACAAAACACAACTTACCTTTTGTTTGAACTGCTACTGCAACTGAGACAGTGATGTTCGTGGAAGAGGTCGTAGTAATATTCACCAGGTAGTTAGTGGCAGAGTTGAGCTCTAAACAGACCTCCGGATTATCCTCACTTGTGGTGATGTTAAGTGTCACAACCTCTGAGAACGTCTTCTCATCCCATCTTTGGCCCAGTATGTGAAACTATGGAAGGATTAACAAAAAAGATTTTGCAATCAGCTGTGGCTCTCCACAGTCCAGAATTCAGTTAAGCCTTGAGAACTACGGTTAATTCTAGGATTACATTTGCTTTAGAATACCAGCTGGACTCAAAAAATAAGCTTGTGTCTTAACTGTTTTGCTATATCAAGATGGCTTAATAAACTAGATTCTTAACTTCTTCTGTCTGTTAAAATGCTTATTATTTCTTTGTATATTGGTACGACAAACTGGAGGAACCTATGACGAGGACTCTAAAAACACCTCCAACACAAATAGTAAGCTGTAAGTAAACATTCTCTCATTTACAGCATATGGATGTAAACTACATCAGCTTGCTACTTTCTGTTCATTTTTCCACTTTTCTCCCCATGCTCTATAGAAGCAGCAACAAAACTGAATGCCGCCCAGCAGCAAAAGCCAAGCTTCCATCTGATCTTGCTCAGTACAGTGAAACAGAAGGCTGTGTTCATATGAGATGAAGGGACAAATAAAGCTTATCTAACTGAACTCAAAGCAGGCCACACTGCATTATGGACCTTATCACACGTACCAAAGCCTATATCATCCTCAGTTTTAACTATTCTGAAGCGTCTGGCTGCGAGCTGAATTCGGACACAAGCAAACGCACAGAGCGCATTGCACCAGAGATCTGCAGTTTGCCAGATTCCACTGGCTACAATGGAAAGCACTGGTTTTGAACTGCTACAGTAATTTGGAAGTTGTTTTTTCCCTCTAAGTGGGGCTTAATAAAAACACTCAAATTAACAATGCATTTATTTATAACACAGCAGAAAGACAGGTTGTTTTCCTAAATTAACACCCAACTCTGGAATGTGTTTCCCATATGAGCTTCCGCCCTCTGGAAATTCTAAATAAACCCCTTCTTTCTTCCCTATTTGGGCATGCTCAAAAAAGTCATACTTTCTCGGGGTGTCGTCAAAGCATGGGAATTCTTGCCTATTATTTTCAAGTTAGATAACCTTGACTAAGCAATTTGTTTCTGAATTTTTGTTTATTTTCGTTTCCGAGAATTAATACTTCAACTTTTATTCTTATGCTTATAGATGGCAAAAAATAAATAGTTAGAAAGGCTGCTTTCAATTTCCAGGTACAGTTATAAAATGTTTAAATATAAGACGGTTGAATATCTTGAGCAAGATGCAGTATTTCAACTTACCTTTAATTTCTAAAAGAAGCTATGTCCAGTATCTGCAAGTGATTTGCTGTTTACTTGAAATAATTACATCAGAGATGAGGACAGAGCACAAGTGGTATACGCTTTTCTATGTCAAAGTGACCTCAAGCTCTTTGATGTAATTTAACTAAAACACAAGCTTGTGCTAAAATGCTGCTTCTAGTTTCAAGTAGACATTTAAACGCTTCACTGGAATTGGACCCCAACAGCTGTTGAACCATTCAACTGATGTTAGGACACGTATGTGTTTCTTTTCTCCCTTACCCAGCCAAACAGAGGGTTTTAAGTAGTTCACTGGAAAGCAAAAGCCAAGAACTTATGCTGCCAACAAACCCCCAAAATAGATCTCCTGACTCACTAGAATCAACCAGGACAAAGCTCCTCCCAGTGTCAAATACTGCCTCACTTACTGTGTATGTTTCCTGCGCACCAGATCTTCCAGTTTTCCTCTGCCACTTCAAACAGGTTTCATTGAATACGGACAAATTACTGAGTAATTCTTCTTCTGTGAGCAAAAACATTAACATAGAAGAACAATCATTACTATTTCTCAGGTAAATGCTAAAAAGTTTGGAGTAATGCTTTATTTCTTCTTTTCCTCTAAACGTTTCCTTTGCAAAAGATAAAACAAGTCATGCAAAAGACAGGCAGGAAGTTTTCACCTGACCGTGTAGGTTCTTAAAATTAAAATACAAGACCAAGTGAAGCAAAAACTTCTGAGCTCATGACTACCAAGTCCTTAAACACAGAGCTGACATTACATAAACTATCACAAATAATGAAAACAAAATACTTTGCCAGGTTTGGATTTTAATGTAGAACAATTTTAATTCTAATGGCTTTACAGATCTTGAAGAGGATGTTAAAACTGCATGACAGTCTCCTGACAGCAAAGGAACAAGCTCATTCACTCCATCACACGTACATCACTCCATCACAGATACGTTTCTATATATCAAAGCATACATACATATCAGCACTTCTTGCACAAGGATCTATAGCATAGACTCTGTTAAAGACTAAATTCTTCCATATCGGATGACAATCCAGGTGGCAGAACCCCTGAGAAAAGAGATTCTGCTCTGCTTTTGACATTCCTCCTAGTCTTGGTATATTAAACCTGTGCCTTCTGTAGATATTTCTCAATCCTGGTGAAAGTCTCTCATTAAAGCGTGATTACAACAGTTTCACATCACCAAAAACAAAAAGCAAGAAAAAATGCCCCAGTTCCGCTATTTCTGCCACCTCTTCTAGACTCTCTGCTCACTTAGTACCGGCACCTGGATCTCATGACATCCAGTGGTCTACAAAGTCTTCAAGTTGATCTGTGAGTCTTAAGAAGACAGAATCACAGAATACTGTAGATAAAAAAGGCAAACTCGATCATACAAAAGACCGGTCTGTAAAAAAAAAAAAAAAAAGAGGCCCCCAACACAAAAACACAAACGAAAACAAAAAGACATCTCTGAATCCAAACTCTGCATCAAAGCATTTTAAGAAAGCCTCTGTGTTAGATGAGAAGAGAGCTTTTTGGAAGCGGAATGAATCTTTTGGTTCATTATTCTTCTGGGCTTGCTTTTTAAAAAACTTTTTACTTTTGTCGTTATTCCATAAATATGTTAATCTACAGTTATAAAAATATAAATATATAAATATTTATATTGCATAAGTATAATTAAATAGCACAGCCACAGTGAAAATACTTTTTGGAATAGATACTACACTAAAAGAATGAAACCCACAAAACTAAGCACATGGTGACTGCAGCTGCAGCAACCAGTAACAAAGCCTTTAACATACCTGTGTTAATTTATAAATTATTTAAAAGCAAATTCATGCTGCAGAGAAAAGACAGTCAGGAAAACCAGCTCATCCATTCTTTTCTCAGGCAAGTCTCTCACTGCTGTCATTGACACAGAACAGTTGCTTTTACGTGATAAGATAATGAAAGAACCTGCTATGACTGAGAACATATCTCCTTCTGGTCACAGTTTAGCCTGACTGTGAATCCATTTGCTTCTCTTCCTGCCTTCACTAGTCTTCCAAGTATGCAGCTCCTCTCTCTGCTACAGTAATTTATTATTACATTCCCCATGTGACCAGAGCCTTACAAAGCAAAGCTCGTAGACATACTGAGCTGAACACCACTTTCTACTGAAAACATGAAGGGGATTTATATGAAGGGGATTTATACGAGAGCCTTGGTAAATACGTGAGTGATATGCACTGAGTAGTTGGTGTAACGTCTCGGTGTAAAGGCAGGTGTAGCTCAGGGCTCTCCTCCTGTGTAAGTAAACTTCACTATCATTTCACGGGGGCTCCCTTCTTGCACACAGACATGAAACTGTCACTGAAAAAATAAATACATAGATAAATCTCAAAAAATCCTAGATTCAGCTTCAGGTAGACTGAGGTCTAACTGTTCATGTATTTTACAGCACTATATTTTCCTATTTCCTTTTTTTTGGAATTTTTAAAACCGTCAGAAGCCTCTTCTCAAATGCCATCTTTCTCTCCAGATGTTTAGCAAATACACTTCTCACTCACTAGATCGCTTTCTCTATCTCCCAACTCCGAAATGCCTCCTCTGTTCCAAACAGGTACGGTTAAATATGAAACACTGCTGAAACCTTCCTTTTTCACAAAACTAAAGAATGAAAAGAGAGAATAATTTACATCCCCTCTAAAACAATTTTCCTTACAATTCGCTGTGTAATTCATTATATAACAACGCTTGATTCTTGTTTCCATTATTCGTTGTTTCCTTCACAGTAATGCCTAGAAACTCCCCAGTAGTAAGACTTCTGTACCAACATAAAGCACACGAAATATGTTCAGTTATTGTATTCTTTAAATCAGCCACACTTTTAGTAAAAGAATGGATGGCAAAAATGACTTATTAGAGCATAGCTAGAGGGAGAATATTTGCATATTCATGAGATCTGAATTAAAATGCATAGCAAGAAAGAAGAAAATATCTCAGCTCCAGGACTGCACAGCAAGAAAATTAGGCACTTGATTCAGTAACACCCTCCCCCCCCCCAAAATTAAGAAAAATAAAGAGCTAAATAATAACATAGCGACTATGCTCAGGCAAGGAAATTAGACAGCACCCACCCTGGACAGAAGGAACCAAACTAAAGGCATATTTTCCCGTAATTATATCAATCATTTCTGTCACACTAACACATATTCAATATTAACATTCAAAGGGAAAGCCCACCATGCGTTTACCAAATATCCACAGAACAGCTGGCAGAATTTTTCACAAAAGTTTCCACTCTAAATGGGTAGGAGTGAAAGAGAGAGGAACAAAATTGGTAATATGCACAGCACAAAACACCATGTGAACACCGCAAAAAGATCCTAGGCTTTCTCAAGGGATTGTTTTTCCTCCCTTACTCTTACTGATCACACACACTCTTTGGATTATCAAATGTACAGTAAGTGCTAGGTTTCACTTTAAGCCCAGTAAAATAAACACATTATCCAGCAAGACGACAAAGGTATCTCTGAAATATCAATTTTCTCATGTAGAATGAAGTGGTTTTCTGGACACATTTGTTCTCCTACCAAATTTAACGGTGTCAACGCCTTCCACAGTTTGGAACTCCCAAAGAAAAATGCCATATAAATGCCTGCACTCAGTGTGATCAGCGTGTCCTAGTAAACTGTGGCAAGCAGGTCTTCAACATTTCTGATTTTCATCAACAGCTTTCATTCAGACTCCCAAACAAGATGGGAATGCCCCAATTTTCCTATACTTTAGCACCGGAAATTGCAGCTTGTGATGAATGGAGAAGGCCACTGGATGCCAATGTTGCTCCGCCAAGCTCTGAAGAAGGCTCCAGGTCACCCTCCCAATCTCCTTCCCATCCCAAGGGAAAGGGTTCCAAAAACGAGATGGTAACTGGTGGGGACCAGAGCAGCAGGGGGAAAAGAATCCAGAGCAGTCAAATACAGAAAGGCAAATTAGGGAGAGGACAGAAAAAAATGGCAATTTACTGCCATCGATCTGAGCTAGAGAAAAAGATAGCGCTTATCTGTTTACTATTTTTGAACTTTCATGAAAAAACAGTATTTACAAAAAGAAAAAAACAGCTCCAGTCTGTTAATTCATTTTCTGCAAGTAGCTAAAAGATCATCCACACATGCAAATTCGCTCACAGAGTTCTTCTCACCCTTGCGTAAGTGCAACTTAGGAGAAAGAAAAAAACAAACACTATCTTCCTTTTTCTGTATATTTTGCCTTTTCAGTCCTATGAAAACTGTAAAAGAGGTGCTGCAAATAACACGTGCTACTAACGTGCACTACCTATACATTCAGACAGAGAACTGAAGTGACAGGAAACAGCATTTCAAAGGGAACTTCTACTCAGACTGTTTCACGACATTTATTTCATAGAATACAGGCAACCTCCTTTTGCACAGTACCTTTTGAGGATATATATGTAACCTATGTTAAAGATATAGCTTCAGTAGTTCTATCTTTCAGGGTAGCATCGAAAGCTTGTAAGAGTATTTTTATATTTGAGTAACATACCTGCCCCTCATTTAACTAGCATTGCAAATTTCAGCAGGTCTTTGCTTCCTGCCCCAAATTTTACACAGAGAAGCCCACAAAAGAACAGCAGAGATAGAGGCAGAGACAGCCACAGGAAGGAGCAGACAGATAGCTAATGATTTACTACTTCCTTTGGTCTAAAAATATTGCCAGGATACAACTAGGAGCAGAGTAATTCCTCTATTGAAGTAGACAAACAAAAACATAAGAGATGCAGTTGTGAGCATATTTACAAAGGAAAGACATGTCAATCACGTGCAAAAGCAATAGTATCAGAATAGACTGTACTAGATGAGGTAGGACTGGAAATCCTCATGATCTGCTCCCTATTTGAAAGACGTTTCTGCAATTAGTGACTGACATTTGTCATCAGGAATCATCATCGTTGGATTGCAATACCTCCTCATAATACAAACTCCACCTGTGTTTTTCCAGGCAATTAAAGAAGTTATCAGATTACTAGACGTCTGGATTTAACATATCAAATTAGCCATTTACAAGAACTCAGGCCAATCAGATCCTTTTCATCAACGACCATAATTACCCTAACTGTTTGATGGGTTCTTACTCCTTCCAAACCATGGGTTTTGGATCAATGCCCACAGAGTGGAGTGACACCTTCTCTAATACGCTCAGAAGTATTGACATAAATTATTTACACGCCGCTGGGGATAAAAATTAGGTGGAGAGTGAGAGGTCTGAGAAAGAAGAAAGACAGTTAACCCATTCTTTGTTGCTTGGAAATGGCCAACCCATTACCACCACAGAAACATCACCTTTCTGTATCATCCCTCTACTGTGCAAGCGAAAATGTAAGAATTGGCTAGCTAGAAGGGCAAACCATCAGTGAGAATGGGGACAAAACACAGAAGAAGGTAGGGTGAAAGCAAATGGAAAACAACTCACAATTAAGGAGAGGGTAACTAGACCCTCTCAGTTCC